CACCTGGAAAAGAAACCGATCTCGACGTAAGTGAACTTCCTCTTGGGGTCCAGCAGCAGCCCGCCAACGACGCTGGAGATGATGCCATTCACATTCGCCATTTGGATGGTGTTGTTGAGGCCGTACTGGTACTCATCCACCGTCTTCAGCCACCCCATGTCGTCATGCGTGTGCGCCACAAGGTGCACCGTCGTCTTCGCGGAGGCGAGAGGCGCCGGAAGGCAGGCGACTACGAAGCACGCCAGCAGCGCCGCAAGCAATCGCATCTTGCAACTGTGGGAAAATAAAAACAAACAACTACGCTGATAATTGGGCGACTCGGTCAACTACACCCCAACCACACACACACACACACACACATATATATATATATATATCGCCCCCACGCACACACAGCGAACATAAAAACAAATAATAATTAAAAAGGACAAAATATGACCAAAAAAAAAACACGATTCCATCAGCATTTCAGTCGCTTGAGAAAGCAGAAGCACATTCCAGACACACACTCACACAACTCCATATACACATAGGGTTACTACACGCAGCGCCCAATATCCTGCCAGTCACCTCTGATGCCCACCGTAAGGCAGATGCTGATGGCACACGCCTGTCCATTTCCCGTCACCGAGTGGCTGGAGAGTAAGTACTGCCTAAGCGAAAGCCCGCACACGACCTTCAGCAGCGTGAGTCGTGCCCAAAACAGTTGTTGGGTGCGAAAACAGCTTCACAACACGCTAACAACGACAAAGTCACCACATTAGAGCAATTCCACAGGCAGGAATACGACGCCGGACTCCGCCAGTTCCACTATTACACCTTCATCCCTAGCACGGACAAACGCCGCAAAAATCTAATAAAGAGAGACACAACAGCACGAGATGAAATGCAGCAATGCAGAATATCGCTAAAGGAACGAACACATCAAATGCAATAACAACTCTTACTAGTGCAGTGAGATACGACGCCCACAGAACTGTAAGGAAAATCAATAGCCTAATGCAGAAACCCAAATCATAAAACACAAAAATAATTCATAAACATTGGTTCACTAAAAACAAAAAGGCAGCATCAGGTG